CTACTGCAATCATACTGCAAACATGCTTCAAATCTGCTTCGATGTGGGAGCTAATTAGCATATTTGAAACATGCTTCCATCATGCTGCTAATCTACTGCATTAATGCTCCTCCTCTGTACAACCCTATGTAATTTTTGAAGTAGAATTGCAGTAGACTATACTGCATTTCTACTGCATATATGCTCCACACCACTTCTGCGTTAATGCTTCTTTGCTACTTCGATACTACTGCATTTTCGTGCGGGTACCCTCAGCAAAACGCAAATATTTTCAGTAATAGTGGTTTTAGGCGGTAGATTCACTCAGAAACAAAGGGAAATTAATTCGTTGCCGATAGCACCAGCTGATAGCAGTAACATACAGGGTCTGTTTAAAAAATTTCATGGCAATTGAAGATTTTTTACCACTGTACAATGGAGTCCAAAAAGAGCACTTGGCACAAATGTAAAACTGCCCAGTGCAAGGCCAAGAATTCAATCAGTAATTTCAATCATATAATCAGATTCTACATAAATTGACTGACCATATCACTACTTAGTATTTAACTAATCTCTTAATCCAAAATTCCTATCATCATTTAATAATTATGCAAAATTCTTCTTTCAGATTGCTATTTATTTAAATTTTTAATGCTGCTACTGTTCCAAAATAATCTTGTGGTAAAGGAAAATGCAAATAAGAAGTGGAAGATCAATTTTACCCACAGTATTCAATTATTTGAATATAAAAAGAACAAGATCACGATTTAACAAATTAAAATAATCTTTCATGAACTCTTTCATGAATAACATATTAAACAAAAATGAAAGTTATAAATCAGTGGTAATGGCTTATTCTGGAATATATGACCTCTGTACATCATCAGTACCTGACTTGGTACATTATAGTTACTACTTGGATAGAGAGTTAGATTTAATAATGTAACAATAAGAACAATATATATTATAATAATAAACTTCTTTGCACATATCAGACGCTTGTTACCATGAACTAACACTACTTGACAATGGGCTGAGCACTTATCACAGAGTCTGTGTGCGATGCCATTCTTGTGCTGTGATTGGTTAGTTGAGTCACGTGAAGCCCTACTGTTGCGCCCTCGCGTATCGCGTAAATGCTGCACATTTCTGGCCATGCACACACACACACACACACACACACCTTTCTCTCTCTCTCTCCCTCCCCCTCCCACAATCTCTCTCTCTCTCTCTCTCTCTCTCGGACACTTAATGTACTACTTCCAAAGGTCAGAACATCACTTGCATCCCGTGAGCAATTCAGAAAATTTGTACTCGATGTATATATGGTTGCCATATATATCGGGTTATAGAAACTGATAACAAGCGTATTCTTATATAACCTCATACAGAGGAAGATTTCATTTTCATTACTACCGGGTGTGTTTATTGTTTCTTACTCCGAATTTCGATTTCGAAGTACGTTGGTCATTCTGCTTGTTTGTTTACATGTTTGTTTGTCTGTTCGCACTGTAAAGATCGTAATTTTCATCATATCACTTCCATTTTTCCCTTGAAAAGGTATCGGGAAAATTATGTGACAGAACTATTTGAAGGTCAATCGGTGCATTTTTCGAAAGGAAGTGGCCATTATTGCCTACACCAAATACTTTTTCTTATTCTAGAATCGTGAAAGCTAGAGGCATATCTTTGTTGCGTTTTGTAGAGCATGTCAAGCCCAATACTGGAAGTGGTGTCCGTTTTTTTTTTATTTGACGTATGGTTACGGAATTGCGCTATTTCAAAAGGTACATCATAACAATGCTCAATGGTGCTAATTTCCCGACCCTTATTTCTCAAAAACCAGCAGGGATACGCCTGTAGTTACTAATGAACTTGAATAGGAAGACATACATTGGCAATCTTACTAAAACATAATATGGGGAAACCAAGCTCACGGTCAGAGGAACTAGCCAGTTCTATTGTCTGTGGAAGACTTTTCTTTTATACTGGTCTCCATAATACTGTTCCTTTGTTGTTGCAATATGTTGATATGTATGTGAGATTCATTAATTTATAGTAAGTTCTTTCGCAATTCTTTTCCTAAATGAGCAATTTTGTTTAATTGTTTGCTTGTTTGTTTCTCAGTGTAGGAAAACAAATTGACTGCAAATTACACACAATTTTTGAACCCTCAGATTTCGTAAAGTGTTTTCATATCATGTTCCTATTATTTCTATGTGTTCTCTGTCCAAATGCCAAAAGTAAACATGTTATCTTACCTTGTTGTGGGGAAAAACCGCTTTTTTCTCTGTGAGCCCACATGTTCACTCCCATTCACCTCCAGCTAAAAATGCCCACTTAGCTTCACGTCTTACACCACTACACGTCACTTCCGGCACAATCTCCTCCGGTTCCCTTCATTCGTATTCCCTTAACTCTCCTGCCAAGAATGCGCCAGGAGAGGTTCGACTCCCAGAATGAGAACAAAATTTCCCTTTTTTGATTATTATAAGCGCAAGATCTAACCAGGTAAATGCTGTTTTTTTTTGTTTGACTTTGGAGATCATGCATAACGCAAAAGGTAATAAACAGATTTTGTTGAAATTTTCGGGATAGGTCAAAAATAGCACAGTAATTTTAATTCAGTTAGATTTAGATGGCCCGTTTATGGATTATAATTGATAAATGAATGAAATAACTAATTATGTACAGATTTTGATAAAATTTAGGTCTCAAATGGGCAAAGGAAAAATAATCAGCTTTTGGTGATAGGATCCGTTGATTAGTTAATCATTTAACTTTTCAGAATGGATAACAAATTGGCCAATTTCATGAATTTTCAGTAGAGGTCAAAAATTGACGAAGAAAGAAATGAGTAAATGTGGTGATGATCCGTTAATTAATAAATAATTCAGTAATAAATTTATTATTTGTCTTGGCAGAGGTTGAGCTATCTGAATCATTTTTAGTTATAAATTTTATGCTTATTATAATGAAAGATAACACTGTCGGGATTTTATTATCATTGCAGGTCGGAAATGATTATGCAGTTGGTCCGATAGCGGTTCTTTATGAAAGTCTTGGTCCTGATACTGTGGTACCTGGTGAAAAGTTCGTGGGGAACGGTTTTAACATCTCGGTAATTGAGAAAGATGGCGATTGGTACATTCAGGTTCGCTGCATACTTCTGCCATCCTCCCTGTTCGATATTTGGATACATGTGGCCCGACATTGTCTCCAGCTTCACATTCCTCCGGTCTGGCAATCCCAGATAGAAGGGATATGTGGAGATTGGGACGGAGATCCAGGAAACGATGTTACGACACTTGACAGCTGGCCACAGGTGACGGCTCCGTTTAGGAGGTTCCCCTAACACCACACGACGCCGATGACGTAAGTTAATTGTATTTTATCTGAAATATCTTTTAAGTTATAACCACGAGATTGTTGTAGTTACTCTCTCTCTCATTCTCTCTCTCCCACACACATACGAAAGTACGCAAGCGGCATCCCCAGAAAACATTTTTCCTAAAATCATATTTCACACCCAAAAATTCAGATTTAAAAACGTCAAATTTGTATCCTGATTTTTCATCATTTCGTTCTCCCTTACATAAATAATTTGTTTCTATCGAAATCATGACAGACACCGGCAAATGTATAACATTTGTCTCATTTCTCTTTAGGATATTACTCGATGATCCATGGCGTGATGACCAAAGAACCAATCAACCAACCGACCAACTCTGTACAAACTGTCTTCTTTCTCCAGTGATTGATGTTCATGTGGAACAAGGGAAGCGCTGGACGCACAGCCGTATACTTAGACACAGGTTTACTACTGACCATGTCACTCAGACTTTTAAATCCCTATTCCCATGGAATCTCTCTATCTATTGACTGACAGAATTGAGAAAGGTTGATTTTAGACTCACTTACCTATTGTTCTTAGGTGAACGTCCACTGGAGAGTCGTATATCTACAAAAGGAACGGAATCATGGACAATGAAAGTGAAATTTGTGGGGGTGCACGCTACTCTTTTGGTGCTACGATAACTGTTCTATTTTTTGTTTGTTTGTTTGTTTTAATTTTGACAGTGGTCCTAATGCAATTTCTTGCATGTGGATTTTTGTAATGGGGTTGAATGAAATATTTTGCCGTATCAGGTGTATGACATTTTTTCTAGGAAGTAAACAAATATGGATAAATTTCCGAACATAAGAATGACCATGACAGAGAAAAACACATTTGGCACTTAAAAAATGCAATGTGGCGCAAAAGAAAAAAAATTACTTCTAGTGCTTTTTATAACTTTTGTTTGATAGAGTTCACCTGGTGAAGTACAGTGGTCACGTGATTTAAATTGGGTACGATGTAGTGACAATAGCTTCAAAATGTAATTGTCATTTTAATTTTTGATTTATATTTCTCTTTAATTCGTTTCGCCGTGCTTGTGGCTTTAAAATCGTTATTAAAAGGTATCAATATGATATCAAATGATTGTAGTTTATTTTAATTATGTTAAAGGGGAAAGATAAAGAATTCCGTTGATATTTTCTTATAATTGGTCTAAAGTTTTAATATAAAAACATCTTGATTAAAAATAAATAAATAAATAAATAAAATCACAAAGCATCGAATATAAAATAGGTCCTTTCGATGCAATGTCATCACTGGTTCTCTGGCCGATGCAGTTTTTTTTGTAATTGAGGGCTAGGATGTAACATCGTACCGGCTCTTAGGGGAGAGGAGGGGGTTACAAGTATGAAAAATTACAAACAGACGACGGCAACATTGCTATATTAATTTGACGGACAAAATGCATCTTTTTTGTAGTTAATTTCCCTTTTAAAAGGGTAAGAAGAGATGTCTCAGAAGCTGAGGGCAGGGCACGTGCCCACTGCCCCTTCCTGACGATGTTTTTATAACTTATAAATAAATTACACGGCACGCACCCAGTTGAAGGCTAATGGCAAAATCAACTGAAAACATTTTCAAGTGCAAAAAGTAAAACTTTAAAGCATCCTTAAGGCATACCTTTGATCCAATCGCCGCATAGAAGAAAAATTCGGTAAAAAAGAAAGAAAAAAACCCCCCAAAAATAATAAACCAAATACACAACTTTTCCATTTTTACTAAGGTTGACCATTGTTCCCAAGAAACTGAGCTTTGAAAAACTACTTACTGCACGTACTACAGTGTATCAGTGGCGGATTTAGAGGGGGTCAGGGGGTTCCTGAAAAATATATCACATAATTTTTCCCTCTTGAAATTAGAATTTTGACTAGCTGAATCATAGTTCTAAACAGTGCCAAAGGTCACCGTTTGCCCTCCAAAACGGCCCTTGAGCAGGCCCCGAACCCCACGCCAAGAGAGCGATGGTCAGCTACGCATCCGAGGCCTGTCGTTCCCAACCCCCCCTTAAAGAATCCTGGATCCGCCCCTGTAATATAAAATCACACCAATGCGCTTTATTTCTTCAATTTGAATTTTTCTGATATGTAATTAAATATTTTTTTTCAAAATTCTCATGATGTGCAGTGTAATAAGTTTATGTAAATTCGCGTATATATGTTTGTTGATTGCATTCAATCATGACATGCCTATGGCATGTGGTTAAGTGAATTCATGATTCACAGAAGAAAATGGCTTTTTTTAAAAATTAAAGTATTCTTAACTGCTGTCACTGCCAAAGGAGTGTAGCAATTAAACCCCGAACCCAGTTCACAGAAAATTGGTTGAGACAGTTATGTTTGCAGAGCCTTGGAATATAAATTGCCTTACGTGCGGCGGCGGTCAATGCGTTGGGTGAGACGTAGAAAACACGATCTGGATCTGCGATTACCCTTAATGCAGTCGCAGTATACACTTACAGCAACAATCAAAATCCCAATCTCCCGTAAAATAAATCAATGATTATTTTGCAGTTGTGCTGCCTTCTGGTTAGCTGTATGATTCTCTAAAATCTTTCCCAAATTTGCCGTCCCACTGCTGGTACTCCCTCCATGCCCCCTCCCCCCTGATCCTGCACAGTGGGTAAACCACAAGTGACAACATATAACCCTCTGGACCCTCCCACTGGTACCCCACTAAATATACCAGACGCGTAAACATTTTAGCCTTCAAGACCCTTCCTTCCTCAAAACAGTTAAACGTAGGGAGGAAAAGGATATCAAAAAAAAAAAAAAAAAAAAAAAAAAAAAACTTACTTTCTCCGTCTTTCTTTATTTTCTTGGTTCTACAGTTGTACCATAAATTTTTATTGTGAATGGTAACTGGAGGATGGGCAGAAACGTTAAAAATTTCTCAGCAGATATGCTTAAAATATCATGTATGAGGGGGAGAAACCTTTGGCATTAAAAGTTGCGACAATTTCTGTGGGATAGTGGCGGTGTCTGTAAGGCTGTAATCGGGGCATTCTGCTCTATAAACCTGACATCATTCTTCCTTCAGTATGCTTACAGAGGACACTGCAACACTGCCATCTATCGTCATTCTACTTGTGTTAGTAAGGAGTGTAAATGGTGGATTTTCATGGTGAGGTTGTAGGGGTCCATGTTCCACCCTACCCAGGTTCTTCTAATATTTCGCTTGTCACTGATGCATGGGAGAGGGAATATAACCACAGACTCACATATTCAGTTTCAAGTCTAAAAGTCCTTTAATAAGACCAAGCATTCAGCATTTATACACATTATCTACAGGGAATCTCTCTGCATTCCACAGTGGCAGCAACTCATTTAAATACTAATTGCAATGCAAGAGATAACAAGTGAGTGAAAGTTCTATCAGTTCTACTTATCAGGTATACCTATACAAAGGATGATGATTTTAGATATTCATTCAAGACTGAAGCAAGGTGAATGATAATGTGCTGACTGATTATATAATCATAACATGTAGATGAGTGAGTTTATCACTTGCCTTCAGTGGACCTTAACATATTCCTTCTTTTCCCACAAAAAAATTATGGATACATAATTTTTTGAAATATAGATTCCACAGAATACTCAAAGATAACATTTTGACAGCAAAATACTTATACAAAATATCTATGTCATGATTCAACTACAAAAAAACAATATTATTCTATCAAATATCATTACTTTAACTAACAATTGTAATTAATTCAGTTCATTATCCATTCTATTGCTGTACAAAGACATGTCATTATTGTAATGAAATTAAATTTGAATGTTTATGCTCCCAAAATATTTTGAAAAAGAAAACTGTCCAGTTATCATACAGATGGTTTAAATAACAGCTTTTCTAATGGACTGTACATTTAAAATCTCAGTTGAACAATTCAGTATTAGGTATTAGCTAGGTATATCATGAAACTATATTCTTTCTTCTATAATACATATCTTGGGAATCTCCCCACATGTTGGAAATTTACCATTTTTAAATAAACAAAAACTACTGTCACATATTCTTTATAATCCAATTCAAATGTAAACACAATTTATCTTATTACTTTCAAATATGTAATTCATGAATCATTTGGTGCAATTTTACTTAAAACATTGAAACAACTTAAGATAAATATCTATAAATCCCATATATCTCATTTTTCCTAACCTACAGTACAGCTCTAACTGATGTATTATCCTTTAAATGAATAAAAAAAAAAATCATATCTTAATTTGCAGTTTGGAAGAAGTGTCCATTTTAGTTTCTTTGCCATAAACTTTCTCTGCACCTTTCTGTTGTCTCTGTGAAAGTCCCATTTTATATCTGTCCATTCTTTTGCATTCTCATAAACATTTTCTGTGTCTGAACCTTGTCTGTCTTCATTCTCTACAACTTTAAGTACCTTCTCACTTGCACTTTGTTCTTCATTCTCTTTAACTTTAACTTCCTCCTCGCCTGCACTCTGTTTCACCTCTACTTCAATCAGTTTGTCTCTGTCTGTATCTTTGAAATGAGAAAAATCCATTTCCATCGGTTCATCATTAAGTCCTTCATCAGCATTCTTTACATAATCCATTACAGCCTTTTCATCTACACCTAGTTTCTCCACATACTTTGGGTCATCATCATCATCAAGTCCTTCATCCGAATTCTTTACATCATCTGTTAAAGCCTTTTCAACTACATCAGGTTTCTCATAATACTTCAGTTCACCCATTTTACTCTCACTTAATCTGTTGTCATCATCATCATCAGTTTTCTTCCCTAGCTCTTGTTCATAATCTTTCTCGACAGACACTTCATGTTTCTCCCCTTTTTCGAAATCAGTTCTCTTTCCTACCTCTTGATCATTTACAAAAATAATGTCCTCGCTCAGTTCACTCCCATCATTTTCTTCACCTACAACTTGTTCCTTCACAATCTCCATCATACATTCATCTTCTTTAGCAGTACTCAATGTCTCGACTTCAGTTCCCTTCTCCATTTCTGATGGTCCATCTACTTTGCTTTGGTTTCTATCTTTAACTTCTTCTGGTTTCATTTCAGATTCTGCACTAATGTCATTATTTTGTTGTTGCAAACAGCCATATTGTTTTTGTAACAAGTCGGCTAGCTTGGATAGGCATTCTACCAGTCTGCCGTTAATATTATAGTCCTTTTCAGAATCCCAGTCATCATCTTCATACACATACTCATTTTCAAAGCTGGATCCGTAGCTGTATCCCTCCCCAGCAGTGACCCTGGTCGAGCTCGCCATTATGTAGGGGTCCATGTTCCACCCTACCCAGGTTCTTCTAATATTTCGCTTGTCACTGATGCATGGGAGAGGGAATAT